ACGACACCATTTTTGGCTCCTACCTCAAAGCACACTGTGTTCTGTTGATCTTATGTGCTGCACAATAATGTTCAATATTCAGTGTTTACTGTTATTTTCACATAGATCATCGCGATGATGTTGTTTATTATGTTGCTCTTTTTTTTTTTGCTTGTTTTCTCTTTTTTCTTTCTCAACAGCTGATCCAGGTGATCGATATTTGGATTTTTTGTCTGTTTGTTTTGTTGGTTTTTGTTTTTTGCCCTTTATCACCGTCCCTCTTCCCCGCTGTTTTTCTTTCCCTCTTTCTTTCCCCCAGTCAAGTCTGTCCCGTGTGGAGCAAGTGAAAATAAGATAAACAATAAAAGCAAAGGTGAATCAAATAGACCAATACAGCAAGGCTGGGATGGTCCATTTGGTAAAGTAAATCCGTTGGGCATCTTTCTTCGCCTTTAGACAATAATTCTGATGGCAAAAGAGCCAAACGGGACAGGCGGAAGAAAAAAAGAAAAGAATAAAAGGAGGTGTCGTAACTGATGGCCTCCAGAACCTACAGTAAGCACTGTGGCTCCTGTTCAGGCTGTTAATGCCTCACACCTGAGATGTGAAAATACAAAAAACCACTTCCACATTCATTCTGATGCTTGGTTTGGGAAAGAAACCAACTAAATAATGTTTTGTGACATTTTGTATGTAAATCATGTAAACTTGTAAAGACTAAACCTGTCTTACAAAATGCATTTTCAAAAACTGTGTCAGTTGTTCCAGAAAATTAGGAAAATAAAATATGCTTATAACTGTACTTGTACCTGTACTTTTGGCTGTATTTTAGGAGAATGGAACCTGTTTTTCCTCTATCGATTTCTGAAGCATTTGAATAAAACAACACTTACTTTCTTTCAGAACAAGTAAATGAGACTCTTTCCTTCTACGTCAACATTAGTGTGTAAAAAAATCATTTTTAGTAGTTTTTATTTTGTTACTTAAACTAATTGGTGAAGTGAAATATCCTAAAAATATCCATTGTTACGTCAACATACATTTCCTATTCCAGTTTTTTTTTTCCTTTTTTGACCTCCTGGTTCTTTAGCCGTCAGAATTGTTGTCTGAAGACCAACAAGGAGACCCAATGGATTTACTTTGCCAAATGGATCATCACGGCCTTGCTGTATTGGTCCATTTGATCGACCTTTGTTGTTATTATTTATTTTATTTTATTTTTAGTTGTTACAGATGGGACAGACATGACTGAGGGATAGGAAAGGGAGAAAGAAAAGAAAATCAGAAGGGAAGAGGGACAGTGAGAAAGGGCACAAAAAGAGAAAGAAAAGAAAAAAATCTCCTGGATCACCTGTTGAGAGAAGAAGAGAAAACAAGCAAAAAAAAAAAACAGAGCAACATACTAAACACAACACCATCACGTTAATCTAGCTAAGTATAAACAGCAGTAAATACTAAATATTCAATGTTGTTTTGTAGCAAGCAGGACCGACAGCACACAATGTGCTTGGAAATAGCAGCCAATAGAGGTGTAGTTTATGTCTATGGACAGTGAACACCCGTGTGCACACCTGTGTGGATCAGCACGCTTGTATTCAAAAGGTTTCCACATGTAATGGTCTGCTAGAGGATGTAGAGAGCCATAGCCCCGTCCCCCAGGGCATGAAGCAGGCATGGAGGAGATCCAGGCCCCAGACATCCAGACATCCAGAGGCCCCCAGAGTGCGAGAGCCCAAGGAGGACCACCGGAGGGGCATCCGTGCCACCCTCATGGGAAGAGCTGAGGAGAGCCCCAGATGAGGGGTCACCCAGTAGCCACGGAGCAGAAGTCAGAGGGGGCTGCAGTGGCGTGCCCGCCGGCTCTGCCGGCAGCCAGCTGTGCCAGAGTGAACCGCATATGCACACATATACAAGTACTCAGCACTCACCCAAGTACTCAGCACTCACCCACCCCTATTCCAGTTTTTAAGTCAACCAGGTTAATAAGGTTAACTAAAGGTTAACTAGAATTTACACTGCCGAATGGTCAGTTCTGAGTTACTGTAGTCATACTTTTTAGACTCAAGCACTTAACGTATATAAACATAAGCAAAATAAATCTTGCTTCTTTATATAGTGTATTTACTGCATGAAAAACATTTGAAAAATTGCATTGAAATAAAGTTGTTTATCAGTTCTTGTCAGAGTTTCCTTCATATAGGTGCCCCATGTTTCACTACAGAGTAACTATTAGCATTAGTGAGATGTCGCCCGTTGTCAGACAAAACAGTGTCTACATTTCATTACTTGAGAGCTTTCTTAGGTTTTTAAACTTTCATAACCTTTGATTGAAGCTAGCAGGTAACATTTTTGAGTCCAGTAATAATCTGTGCTTTGGATGATAATAACAGATTGAGTGTTCATGTTCCTTGTTAGTTGACTTACACGTACGTTTGGGCTTTGAACACCTAAATTACCTCATATCATGTGAATTCCAAAAATCATGCAGGCTACTGACTGTGCTGGCTACACTAGTTAGCATTAAGGGAAAAAAAGTTTAGAGATTTGTACATTAGCTTAGCTATGGGTTGCTAACCGGCTTGTCTCAGCTAGCGATAGTACACTGATTGCCGCTCGGTATTAAGCACCTCCTTATGAATTTCAGTTTTTAAAGTGTTGTTTTCATAAAGAATAACCCATTCCAGACACCTAAACTTGAATCCTGTGTCACATCTTTTTTAAATACAGGACTAATTATAAAAGAGTAATGTGACCATTAGCTTGTCACTCACTGATTGAAGAAGTCGCATTGTCAAACATCAAGCTGAGCTATCACCGTGTTGGTGGAACTGGATTTGACTAGCAAGACATAAATCTGACTTCACTGCACGTTTGTTAGCGAGCAACTTGGTATTAATATGAAGCAAACCTGCTTTGAGACCATGAGTTACAAAATCAACACTATATTATGCTAACTTAAAAACAGCAACTGAGACCATAAAGTCATCAAGAAAGTGCTGCTGACATCACACATCAAGTGAGAAGTAGGAATAACCCTCTGCTGGTAATTAGAAAACAATGCAGGTCTATGGATCTTCCACTCAGACTTTCAGACCCAGGAACTATGCCCAGCTGTTACATGTTGTGCATGGATCAATGTGAGCTGATAAATGAATTCAATAAATTGACTTCACATGACAGGCCAGAGGTTCAGTCTTAAAACTAGCAGGGCTGAACAAGGTGTTATTATCAAATATAACTATTATTTGTAAATAAATAAATAAATACCATAAAAAACCTTAATGTGTTACATTTAAGAATTCTGTGTTATTGCTACAAGTGAATATAGCTGCTAATGATCCATAATGGGATGATGATTCCACTGCAAATACTCAGAAAGGCACAAACACTGGACGTTGTTATGTACAGGTCTGTGGGGACTGACCTGCATTTGCATTTGTGGAGTCAGAGGCCAACAGAGGAACTGGAGTTTTGTCACTTCTGCTATGGTTTCACTTTTGACTTCAGGGGTTGCCACTTGGTTTCCAAATTACACATCAAAAATTACAGATTACAAATTACAGTTACAAATTGCCTATAAACAGATGGTGGTATGTGATTGGTTTGATAAGTGTGACAACATTTAACACTTTTGCATAAGGCAAATGCAATTTAGCTTTACCTGTCCCAGGAAAGAATCTCATTGATACATATCTGCGCTCTGACATCATCAGAGATGAACTCTGGACTGTCAGAGTAGCACTTCTGCTTTCACAGTGCACTGGTTTCTAGTTGTTTTCAGTGCCTGTAGAAAGTGTCCTAAATAACAGTACTCCCATTCTGTACCCTGTTCCTTAAAATCATTTCTACTGAAAGCTAAGATGTGAACTCTCTGGTCTTAACTCACTTCTAATCCGACATGTTCTGCTTTTGTAGGGCAGCAGAGAGGTGTGCATGCTGCCTACAAACACACAACAATCAAGCACCAGTTTAAACTAATGAAGCCATACATTTGTTTCCATTATTGCTGTGCCCCAGTTAAAGTAATGAGACCGCAGTATGAAAACACTCAAGCCTGCTGCATTCCTGAGATGATTGCAGAGCCAAACACTGCCATGTGTTATGGCACACCTAAAGACCACTGACCCGCTCACATGGTTGCTGTGAGTCTCTGCAGTACAGACATGATCAGGTCTGAGCAGCACATAAAGACACATGACAGTGTGGAGCTCACTGCTGCAGGATTCAGATTACTGATGCAGGACCTGAATAGCTCTGGTATCTTTAATCCCACAGCCCGCTTTACTCTCAATCATGCTCTGTTGCGAGTTTCATTGTGGCTGAAGTGGACTGCTGACTATTATAAAGTGCTCAGTTTCTAGGGCATGGGTTGGTGTGGCGGAGGAGGATGCTGGGATAGCGTGAGATGGAGGCAGATGATCCGCAGTGGCGACCCCTAAAGGGAGAAGACGACAGAAGAAGCAGCAGCTTAGTCCTTGTAAAACAAAAGCTTGCAGAGAGGACATGGTTTCATGGTATGATGATGACAAAAGGATGACAGCATAGGTGACACAGCTATAGAATTTTTATTATGATGTAACACAGGAATGATGTAAGAAGTGCAAAAGAACACACGTGTACCAAACCCGGTGATTTGTGTGCACTGATTTTCTCAGTTAGACAAACTCGGTCTTCATCATTTGAGGCTGTGATATTCCAGACTGAGGTGAAGAAGAAGCCCGATGAAGCCGATGCTTTGCGGGGCGAGGGTGGGGGGCACCTCGACCCGCGCTCCGAGCCTGGGTCTTGTAGAGGGCAGCAGTCTCAAGCTGGAGCGAGGAGAGCAGCCCGGTACTCTACAAATATTCCTCCTGCTGCAACACACTGGAGGGCGGGGCTGGATGCTTGACAGCCACTCTCTGAGACCAATGAAAAGCCGGTGTTCTCGGGAACCTTCCAATCTCCGCATCCCGGGCGGGGTCTGAAGGGTCGAAACCGGAGAGAGAATCCCAAAAAAAATTATATGTAGACTGTGGCGGAGCTGGGAGCGAGCGGGACGCTGAGGGAAGAAAAAGAAGTGAGAAGACGAGCTCCGTTTGCTCGCTGTGCCAGTGCGCAGACAATTACGCACGCTTGCCACTTTGGTTGCTCCAGCGCGGACTTTTTGTGCCTCTTGTGGAAATGGAGCCGCATTCTTGAGTCAGTCTCAAGAAGGCATTTGTTCTCACTAGTTGATGAGAGCAGTGAGAGCCGCTCAGGCTCCGTTTCCTGTGTTTGCCAGCGCGTTGCAGCTGGGCTGAAGAAGCCCCGCAGGGCTGCCTGAGCACCGGTCCTCCTCCTCCTCCTCCGCTTGAAGCCCCACAGCCAGCCCGCTGCCAAAGTCGGTGGGAGAGAGAGAAAAAGATAATAATGTGCGACCTGATGCCAGCCTCTCAGCCCCCGGAGAAAATGGGCAAAATGAAAAAGTTGAGGAGAACTTTGTCAGAGAGTTTCCGGAGTATCGGTGAGTACCGTTTCCCTTTTTCGAGCCTGTTGTTCATAAAAACCCAGAAAACAGATGTGAAATGTCTCCTGCAGCAGCTCAGACCGCCGCTTCCCACTGAGATGATGTCTGCTCACAGTTTGCGGCCGTGGAAAACCCACATCAGTGGGCTTGTTCGGGTGTTTAAGCACTGCGCACCTCATTTTGAAGGAAAACTGCAGATTTGTCAACTTTCTGAACTGTTGTGAGGATTTTCCAGCAGACTGTCCGCTGCTGACCAGCGGGGCTCACACTTTTCCACTAACGGTCACTAAGTGTTGGTACACAGCATCATCTTCGTGAATTCAATCATATTCATAGGAAGATGACTGACGTTTGTTTTTATCGCTGCATTTTGCGTCTGTGCTCAGCTCGTCTTTTATAGAAACAACAATGGACGCGATCAGTTCTCCGCTTTTCACATCACCTCTTGTTTTGAAGATACTTGTCTGTTTCAGCATCTCTATTGTGAGGCGTGTATCACCGTCTCTGGGCTCTTGGGCAGAAAACATCTGTACAGATGTCGGCCTGAACATTCTCCTCTGAAGTTTGGAGAATGTGCGTGACACACTGATTTATGACGGAAATGATTCATGGAAGTGATGACAGATTCATGACAAAGGAAGTAGTTCATATTTCGGTAAATGTCCCAAAGCGGAATGTTTATTTATTTATTTATTTGTTGCAGTTTTCATATCAGTAACCAAAACATTAATATCACTGGTGTCGGTTCGGTTTATGTTTTGGACTTTGATAAAAAATATAAGAGATGAACTTTTCTCTCCGTTTGATTTTCCTTACCTGTTCTAACATGACGCAGTAAACATGAGAAACGAGGGCCTGGCTGATCATCATCTTCATGGTAATTAAGGTGTATTGTGTTTATCTGCAGGAACACAGGCGCTCTCATTGTCGAGCAATCTGCTGATCATGACAATGCTTTTGTTTCCAAAGTGTCACAAATGAAATCTTTGCCCCCAGCAGCATTTTCAGATATTCCCACCAGGAAGCAGGATTATTTTCCTCATGTTATTTCTGCGTGCACTAACGCACACATTTCTGCAGTCACTTTTCACCTTAAAACAGAACATCAGCAGTTTTTATGATGAGTTCACATTCAGCTCTTAGATTCAATTGAGTCATTGTGTTATGGAGACAGTGTATATGAAGTGCATGCACGACTTTGTTTCACACATTGTAATTTATCTGTGATTGACTGTCAGTGTCAGCAATATTGTTCCTAAGGGATTCATAATTAAATATATGAACTAGAGGAAAGTAAAGCGATCTTAGTTTGTCACAGAATTTGGGGCCTGCATATATTTATCAGATATTTTGTTTGATGATGGCCCAAATGTTCATTTCGACTGGACTGCAGGCCAGTGTGGCACCCAGAGCCATGCTCCAGGACAGTGAGTAATGTGGTTTGGCATCGTCTTCCTCAAACAAGCAAACTTCACCTGGGAGAAATAAAAACTGCATATTTTGTCATTAACTCTGTGACACCTAAATGATGTCGTTATGGTTTCCATGTTGGTCGTGTTGAAAGGAAAGCATCGACATGATCTACAACTGAGGATGTGCGTACTCGCTGCAGTTAAGTAAGGCGAGCCTCTGCATCAGTGCTAGTTAGAAGAAACTTAAACCAGAAATGAGGTCTTTGATGTCATCTTAATGATTTATTGATCAAAAACAGACAAAAATCCATATAAATCAGAAACCATGATTCTTATAAGTTTGGTGTGTATTGTGAACATATAGAAAGATTTCGGACCTCTATCAAGCTCATAATAGTGCTGCATAGAACTGTTTAAAATATGTTTCTTTTGGCCATTGTTGGTACTGACATCAGGGATATAAAAGGATTTTAATAATGACTATATATTTTATGACTTTGTAATGTACATTACAGTAACAGGTTATAACAGTTTAAATACATGTACAATGTTCTAGAATAAAATAAAATAATTTTGGAAAAAAACTCTTTTTTTTACGTAATATTCATGATTAAACATTTAAATGAACACGCTTTACAATAAAGTGAATGCTACACATGTATCCATGAATAAATAATACATTAAAAAATAATGTTGAGTACAGTAAAATGTTTGAACAAAAGCCTGCACGTTACACGTTTTTTGCTGTACGTTTAAAAAGACCACAAAACACCAAAATGAATATATAGAAAATACAACACTGTTGCTTTAAAGTAAACACTGAGCAGAGAGTGAGCTGTCCAGGCCGAGGTTTCTCTCTGAGGGCTTCTTGTTTTCAAACAGTTGTGACGTCTGTAAGTTGGGAATATCTGAGCTCCTGCAGAAATATCACTAAAATGGTCGTAAAGCTGGCGTGAGCGTACACTCGCGTCTTTAGCACATGCCAGCCCCATCACCCACACAAGGTTACAAAATCCCAGAGGTGCACGAGCAGGCAACACAACACTAAAGCACATCTGCTGCTGGTGGATGTGACGTCACTTTAGCAAGAGGACTATGTTAAATGGTATAAATGGGCGTTGAGACGTCATTGGTGACAAACCCGACCTTTAAAAAAATATTAATAGTATTTTGTGTGACAGAATTAAGTTTTGTCCCTTGATTGCTGAGATTTGGGAGAACAATTAAAAAAAGAATTCACCACATGAATCATCACCCATATTCAGATGGATGACACGGTATCCATAATTTCTAAAAGCTGACGGTCCTGTTTTTGGAGCGTGTTTTGTTCTTGTTTTCAAATTTAATGTTGACTTGAAGAAAACTGTGTTGTAAATACTCATTTTGGTAGCAGTTAAGTGATGCATAGGCGACAGCAGCTGAACGCGACAAACAAACACAAACGGAGAATGTAAGCTCGCACAGCAGCGGGAGGGTGATGAATAGGAAAATCATGAATTTGGATTTACGATCAATCTTTTTTAAAAACATGTAGATGCTAATAATGGCTCGTGGAAGGTCTCGTTGAGGTTGCCCACCTGCGAGGACGGTGATAAGGTGGATTTTTTAAGTGCAGTGCTTCTTTAGGGCCTGAACGTGAAAGCCATTCAAACTGCTCTCAGCTTTGTCTTTAGATCCTCTGAATCTTTTTAATGACATTATGTACCATAGATGATGAAATCCATAAACTGTTTTACTTCAGTATAATTGTTGGACTGTGTGCTCATGCAGGTTTTCAGTGTAGTGAATCCCTCTGGATCTTTACATCTGGGATCAACTTACTAATAGCTCTGCTGTTTGAAGTTGACCCACCAGCTTGTTTCTGCACTTTTTTTTGTGTTAAGCATTTTCAAATGATTTCATCGTTTTGATTTATATGTTACACACCGTCCCGCCTTTTTCAGAAATGGGGTTGTTGACTTGCTGATTAACACAAAAATCTTTTCAGCTCTACGTGTAACTTGGATTATATCAGTTGATGTCTGATTCATAGGAAATGTATAAAAACTACAAACTGAATTCTTCTCACTGGATATTAATTTTATCCTCCGTTTTCTTTTTTTAAACAAAGTGTTCGTCTCCAAAGACACACAGTTAGTCAGGTTAGGTTAACTGGTAACTCTAAAGAACCCACCGGTGTCGGTATGAGTGGTCTGTTCATGTGTTAGCCCTGCGTCAGACTGGTGACCTGTCCAAGGTGTTCCCTGCCTCCTGCTGGGATTGGCTTCAGCACCCTGACAACGATAAGCGGAAGAGAGTGGATGGATAGTTTGTTTCAAATATTTAGCGATACACAATATATAGTAAGTAAGGCTGTTGCTTTTCTGTCATAATTTTGTTAATAATTATTTCCATAAATGCCATGAAATTACCAGTGAAATTGTTTATCGGCCACACGACAAGACCTGATGATGTGCTTGAAGTGACGCTTATGTTTTCATGTGACTTATTGTCCCACACTCACATCACTGGCTGTAAAAGGTGTGTGTGTGTGTGTGTGTGTGTGTGTGTGTGTGTGTGTGTGTGTGTGTGTGTGTGTGTAAAAAAGGTACTGTTTTACACACACACACACACCACCTGTGTGGCCTTTGAAGCAGTGTGTTGTAGACAAAGAACAGTCGGATGCAGTCTGTAAGAAAATGAGAGCTTGAGTTTGGGTCAGTGTTGCAGGAGGAAGCGAGATTGGCATTGACTTTTCTGCTTTGCTGATGCTCGTCTCCTATTGGCTGTCTCTCCTCTCATCTAAATCAACACATCTAAGCATTGATCGGCCCCTCGCCTTGCTCCACGGAAGCCTTAACAAAGCAAATTCAAGAGAGCGCTGTATTCTTTATATCCTTGCAGGCATGTTGATCCAACAGGTCCCCGTGGACAGCACCGTGTTGTATGCGAAATGATAGCACCGTGCAGCGTAATGCATTGTTAGTATTTTCATTTGAACAGACACAAACCAGGTGGATGGGCTGACGCAGAGTTTGTCAGCCTGTTCTGAAGAGTGACCTCAGGTTTGAAGAGACCAGTCACGTAGTGAAATGTCAGGATGGAGTGCTGTGTTTGCAAGATCATGAAGACAGACTGCAGATGACTACAAACAAGAACCACTGCCTTGGACTTTGCCTGACCTCCAGTGCAGATGTTGCAGATGTTGTTCTTTTTTACCATTCCATGAAACAGGATTCTGATTCCTGCAGCATAATGTCAGCTCGTGCCACCAGGCAGCAGCTCGTGCTGAATGCTGATGCAGATGCTGGTGTCCAGTGGCAAATGTTGGCACTGGCATTGGAGCAGACAGAAGATTAGAAAAGCTTTAGATAAATGAGGAGTTCCTTTGGCTCAGCAAAGCCTTCAGTGACCTTCAAATTTTTAATTTTGCCTTCCTGCAGTTTTGGCAGTTTAAATTTGTCAGTGAACCAATGACCTTGGAAATACAGGGGGTATCAATTCATTGAAGGGAATTAAGAGAGGTTTCTCCTCCCTCATTACTCCTAAAGAGGTGCCCTTGAGCAAGGCAATTAACCCCCAACAGCTGTTCAGTGGCCAGCTGAT